ACCCAGCCACATACAAAGCCGCATCCAACATTTAGTGACACAACACCCGCCAAATGACGACACATACGAACAAATCATTGAACAGCCCCATACCACCACTTTTCAGTCTCAAAATTATCATTTTTTAGCCAACGATAAGCAGACAAATTGGATCACTCCACCGATCAAACTCCCACCCTGCCAACCTCCAAAATCCACTCCCTATTATCCCACTTTTTGCTTTTTCGCCACCTGATTCACCACAAGCTAACACATCATCAGGCATGAATTCTGACACTAACTCAGATATCACAGTTTATACAACAATTTCACAATTCAATAATTCTGATATTGAAACCCCCGACGAATTTGCCGATTCAGAACCATCCCCTTCTACACATACCCCGGCCAGCTCAACAACCTTCTCAAAACCCCCTTTCCAACCTATACAATCCCATAGCCAACATACATCTCCCTACACTCCTTCTCAAGTAACCCCAACCTACTCCCCGTTTAATAAAGACCTATCCACCAACAACTCCCCAGATAGTATCCAAATTTCCGAAGAACTAGATAATTTTATAACACTCCAACAACAATTGCTATCTCCCCACACCCTAACTATTCACCAATTATCATCAACATTAACATCATCAAATCCACCAACACCTACATCAATTTCAGATTATACTCCATCATTAGCTCATTCATCCACTTCAACAGAATCATCCAATAGTACTAACCGTGCTAATAAAACTTTTAAACGTAAATTCCCAAATCACCCATTCCCATCCAAACCCGGAACCGCCCGAGAATATATCAACCAACCAGACCACACCAATACTACGAATTTTCTTCAAATAACCCTATCTTTATTTCCCCAATATACACTAAATCAATCCGACCCTAGCCCTGAACCACGTCACTTTGTAGATGAACATGTATTAATATCCACACTTCATTGGACAGCTTATTATAATTTCACAAACCCCCTTACGCTACCACTCTATAACACCACTATCGATATTGAAAGAAATAAGTACGAATTATTCAGATTAACCACAGCACTCACTCCCCGACAATTTACATACGAAGGATATAAAAAATTACTAAAAACTTTCACTGCACCCCGCGCTAATGACTACTCAATTGAATATTACGATCATAACATCATTAGATCTAATCAAGACCAATTTCTTGACAACGATAAATTCGCTAATCCACAAATCACAGAAAAGTTTTTTTATTAAATCATCATACATATTCACACTTAACATACTTGATAAAAAGCATGATCACATTATTTCAGAAGCACTATCAGACATCCAAGCATATGAATCATTTCATGAAAAATTTCAAACATTTTCACTAACCTTTCATTTCCTGGCACCAAAACAACGCGATTTGAACTGCTCAGACGACATCATGTTGAGAACTAAGCAAACACATACTTATACTTACTATCGCTTTATCCAAAATCATTTTCATTCACACACACCATCACGACAACCTCGCCACAGATTTCAATTCATTAATTTCAAATACAGCTCACCGTTTTTCCTAAACTTCACGTATTGCATTAAAATTACTAAATTTCAAGGCATCCTCCAAAATTTTGATCCCGTCACTCAAATGTTTATACTTTATCCCCTCACTAAGACCTTCAACGACGAAGAATACCGACCCCTGATCATTCCAAATGAATATATTCAACCTATAGAAGTACCCATTTTAGAATTCATCCACAAAACTAAATATAATCAGAAAGTTTATAATCTAACCCAGAACACACCTCATGAATTTGCAGTAGGCACCGAAGAACTAAAACCCATCAAAGCACTGCAAATGCTTTGGCCACTGTTGCAAACTAAAAACATAATACGCATACTAGCAAAACTACTAACTACCTCAAACGCCACTCACGACGTTTTTCCACGCGGCTTTTTCCCCGACGGCTAAAGGTAACTATGAATTTAATAATTTTCAAACTAACTAATTCAAAATAAAACTAACCATTTTACTCAGTAATTTGCATTTTTTTAGTCTTCACACCACGATCAATTCCAAAACAAGAAAAGACAAATAAAAATATAAACTCTGTTTTCCGTTTTAAACTCTTTTAAACCAACAGCACTAAATGATGCAGTAAAAGTCAATTCAAAGTAGTAAATTCATTTCTAAATTCTTTCCCCAAATGTAGTAAAATTAAATACGATGAAAATCAATTTATACTTTTCAACCCCAAAAGCAGTAAAAATTAGTGCTAAAGCAGTAAATTCATACAAATGAAATGCAGTACTAACTTTTTCTATAACTTCTGTTCAAACGCACAGAAATTCTATCCACAATCGCACAGCTCGCCCACGAAGAATTGTTTAAAATAATGAATTCAAGTTTTAAGTTTGCACTAACAACAACTCAAACAAGCAATAACAAGTTTCCAGTTTTCTTTTAACCCGGTTGGAATGGAAATATATAATAACCAAACTAACCAACGCAGCTTACTAAACACCATAAACCATAAACTAACAGCATGACTAAGAAAAGAAAACCCACGGTACCCAAACCGCATTAAGCCAGCTTAAAACTGGATAATTTATTCTTTTGAAGACTATTTCCAAGTCTAAAAAAGAAACAATAAAACACAAAAAAGTCGCAAGACAAACCCAAACCACAAACAATTTGATTTTTGAGAAAAGTACACAACCAACGAAACAAAACGAAAACAAAAAATAATAAAACACAAAAGTAAACACAAGATAGGACCCCTTATAAAACCAGCACAAAATCAGACTCCCCTTCCTGGCCTAACCCACCAGAGAGGACGTCCTGAGCATGCTCTATAGCCGGCCTAACCCACCGTGCTACATCCACGCTTTGTGACCACATCACTATTTTTGCCAAGAGCTACTCAAGTGTGAGTAACTCTTAAAAATAACTGAACTAAAACTAAAACGCTTTTGCGAAAACAAGTAATCAAAATCATTACTAAAAAATAGAACTAACAAAATTTTATAAAATGTAAATTATAATATGCAGTACATAGATCACAAACAACCACAAGAACGAGCACAAGAAGGCTAGACAACCCCATCACACTCAACCTACAGAATGGCTAAATACAACTGACATGCCGCTCACAATCACGAAACATAAAGGGTTTAGAGTACGACTTGACTTCGCAGAAAAGGACTTCATTGAATCAGACCAATGACCACCTCGATGTTCAAGTATACGCACAGATCCGAGTTACAAGGCATCCCCTCCAAACACGATCTTCACGCCATTCCCAAACCAGATCAAAACACAGTTCTCCACAACCAATCAAGAACAGACGATCATAACAAACCATCTTGAAATCAGATTGACTTCTTTGACAGTCAAAGTCTTTGTCAAACGATAACTAATAACATCCTATCGATGACTCCAGCTTCCTGGAGCTTTCTCCTCCAAGAGCAAAACAAGAAATGATGCTCGTCAAACAACAACGACCAACATCCATCCTTCATTACAGATAGAAGATCTAAGATTCAAAACTCTGTAAACCCCGGATGGGTGGAACCAGATATAAACTATATTTATTCTTTGGTTATACATTGGATATTTTATCTCTATAAAATATTTAAAATTAACCAATCACGATCCATCTAATTAACAATCCACTTAATTGTAAGTGCTGAAAATACTTGTAATTTCAGCACCAGAGAGATTTGAAGTTAACTTAGAAATTAGTTACCTCTCCCAGAGAACTTTAGCAATCGCAATAAGCCAGTATACTCTAGATCTATTGAGCTTAGCAGAGACTTGTTAAACACCCTGAGACTAGTAGATATAAGAGTAAGATTAGGATCGGTATTAGACTAAGAAGTTGCACGAATCTATCCGGCCGAAAGTAAGATAGCGTGACGAGCAGACGGTGTACCCTATCCGAAATTACTCTATGAGTTACACATAGAACTTAACTCATCTGGTGCGACCATAAGTCTCGATCAAGACCTTTAAAAAAATTAGCTTAGAACTAACAGATAGATTAGAATTAGACAAAAACATTTTCAAAAATGTTAAACGATAATAATCTAATTGAAATGTCTCTACGACTCAATAGATCAGAACCGCTATTCCGCACAATAATAGAACTACCAGGCATTGGAAGAAGATCTCGAACAAGAGACAATCTACGACTACGAAGAAACTTATCATTAATTTTCATGGTCGTACAGCGAAATCCAGACCAATCTTTTTTATTCAGGATTTTAATAGCAGAGAATTTAGATTTTCATTTGCAAACATAGAAACCTTGAAGAAAAATCTTCAATGAATATTACAGGCGCTAAATCCTATTTACTATTGTACAATAACGATTTATAAAAACATCTCAAATCGTTCCCTCTAAATCTGCAACAAAATTGAAAAAGGTACCTGAAAATTATATTTATTAAAAATAAAAAATAAAAATTAGTTGACATGATCATAAATTGTTAATATATATTTATTGTTAATATGATCTTTTTTATATCAAAATTATTATCCAAAAATTTTTTTAAAGAACAATAAAGAAAAGAATGTGAAACAGAGGATTCAGATGTGTTACCGTTATACATTTTTTTTCACAAAAAAAAGGAAATTCAAAATAACCACTTGGTTAAACATAGATGCTGATACAAAATGAATTATCATAATAATAAAAAAATTTAACTATAATCCAAAAAATTTAGGTGGCTGAAATTTCTTATCTAATGATTTGTTTTTATTTCTGCGACAAAAACGATGTTTTTCTAATCTGAAATTTTTAAGAACATGACTGGAACAAAGAAATCGGTGGCTCGACTTCCGTCCAAGAATATCAATGACCTGATTGCGCATGAAAAAAATACAACGTAGGCCATAGGTCCTTCCCATTCCTGGGGCGCGGGATTAGAAGGAATTTCAGTCACCAATTAAATCAAACAGTTTCGGACAACACTTTTAGTAATAATGTCAAAAAACAATTTTAAAATTTTTTTCAAAAAGCCAATTTTTACCTGCGCAGAAGATTGTGAAGCTCGTCCAATAATTCTTCCCGGGAGTCAGCTCTGTTAAAACGAACTGTTTTAATGTTATAACTCATCACTTTATTAATGAGCACAAAAAATGATGAATCTCCCTCACAGCAATTTGTGATTTATGTTCAAATTGATGACTCTCAAGTTGTTTTTAATTCTTTCGGCTGATTTTGGTGCGATCACGGATGATACTTGACACCTCTTTGGAAGCCAATCAAAAGACAATAAAAAACAACCAAAAAGTACCATAAAAGAAAACACTCACAGATGGTGCTAGAGATTTTAGCAGACCGAGTTTTTAGCAGACCAATCTTTTAGCAGACTCAGAACAAATAGCAAATAAAAATCATCAAACCGGGCATGGTAATTAGCGACAGCTACTCCGCTGTGCTTTCATTTGGCAATTGTTATTCGGTGTGTAAATCTCTGTTATGCCGCTAATTTAGACAGTTGAAGTTGATAGTTTTGTTGACAAATCGCGTGATAATTGTCTCAATTGGGGAAGCTTGACCCCAAGCTGAGCATCTTTTTGAGCCTGTCAATCAATCATGAATCACTTTATTCCGTTGCTCTGCTAAAAGACTTATAAATCACTTTTTATGCTGAAAGATTGGCCTGCTAAACGATCGGATCCCGTAACAAATTAAAGGTTAGTTTAGGGGACCGGTTTTTTTCAAAAATTGAAATCATCTCACGGTTTGTCACCAAAACTCTGATAAAAACAAGCTAGATTAGCGGCAAACACAGACTTACCCGTACAATGATTATCCTGCCAAATGTAAGCGCAGCGCAGCAGGCGGTCTCTTTTGCCAAGGTCGCTCTTGAAATTAGCATTCTGACAGCTTCATTGTACTGAGTTTGTTGAATATTGGTCTGCTAAAAAAACTTCTCCCCTAAAAAACTTAATCCTCTGCTAACTTATATTTAATATAAATTATTTTTCCTTTTTTCATATTTGGATTTATATCATGTTGGTGATGCGTAACCAGTCCACAGATACTTTCTTTCTGAAAGTTCAAAAAACTGCTGTCAAAATTTACAAAAAGTTTTATGAAAAATTTCATTGCATGAAGGTGTAAAATTCACAAAACATCACTGTTATCTACGATCAATTTCGCTAAGGGAATTTCAACCTTCTGTAGATAATGGCAATTCATTCAAAGCTGTGATGCATGTATTCAAAGCAAAATATGGTTCTTGACTTCCATTTTTGACAAACTTCTACTTTTACTGGAAGCGTTTCTGTAAATAATTTTATTATGACTTCTAAGACTTTTATTATGAGACAGAATAATTATTTTCCAGTTTTTTTTCAAAATTTCAAAAAAAAATGCTACTGCAATTTAGGGGAGCGGTTTTTTCAAAAATTGAAATCATCTCACGGTTTGTCACCAAAACTCTAATAAAAACAAGCTAGATTAGCGGCAAACACAGACACACCCGTACAATGATTATCCTGCCAAATGTAAGCGCAGCGCAGCAGGCGGCCTCTCTTGCCAAGGTAGCTTTTGAAATTAGCATTCTGACTGCTTCTTTGTACTGAGTTTGTTGAAAATTGGTCTGCTAGAAAAGCTTGTCCTCTAAAAAACTTAATCCTCTGCTAACTTATATTTAAAATGAATTATTTTTCCTTTTTTTTATGTTTGGATTTATATCATGTTGTTGATGCGTAACCAGTCCACAGATACTTTCTTCCTGAAAGTTCAAAAAACTGCTGTCAAAATTTACAAATAGGTTTAATAAAAATTTCATTGCATGAAGTTGTAAAATTCACAAAACATCACTGTTATCTACGATCAATTTCGCTAAGGGAATTTCAACCTTCTGTAGATGATGGCAATTCATTCAAAGCTGTGAAGTATGCAGTCAAAGCAAAATATGGTTCTTGACCTCCATTTTTGACAAACTTCTACTTTTAGTGGAGGCGTTTCTGTAAATAATTTTATTATGACTTCTAAGACTTTTATTATGAGACAGAATAATTATTTTCCACTTTTTTTTCAAAATTTCAAAAAAATACTACTGCAAAGAGATGGTGACGAAAAAAAAAATAATTATCGTCCAATAAGTATATTGTCTCTTGTGAGTAAACGTTTTAAAAACGTTTTTTGAACGGTTATGTTAATTTGTAGCTAAAATTGTTTCAGCTGATAAAACAAAATTCGATTTGAAAACAATCATTCTTGTAACCTAGCAAATTTAAGCATCAAAGTTTTCATGAGGAAATCAATTGCCAACAAAATATTTGGTTATTCTTGTTTTTCTTAATTTAAAGAAAGCAATTGATAACGACGATTAAGACATTTTAATTGAAAAAATTTCCAGAACAAATTGTAAATCTAATGCGTAGTTATCTCACAGAGCGAAAATATTCGGAGAATATTTTTTTGATAGTTTGATGTTCCATAAGAATCCGTGCTGTCTTTTTTTATACACTAATTATAAGCCATCAGCCAGTAGCATTCAAGTAATTTTGTTTGCAGATGAATACCCTGTTGATTTTCAAAAATTTGCTTCTAGAGATTTTTCAATCAGAACTGCAAGAATTTGGTGACAGGTGTGATGATAACAAGCTGTGAATAAACCAATCGAAAAAACAGCTTGCGTATGGCTTGCTATCTTCTGGGAAAAAACTTTTGTTAATTAATGCGTCTTCCTAAAAACTATTTGTTTCAAATGCTATTTTGATCCAGCTTCTATATCTTACATGCCTTTGACATAGAGACTGTTGTCGATATATAAATTAGACAATTTTTTCAGAAGTTTTGAAACAATTTAGAGGAAAAAACCCACTTAAAACTGTTCATTTGGGTGCATTGGAGAATCGACGTTTTACTCGAGCTTCTTTAGCCAAAATTTAGCCTAGTTCAAAAACACAAACACGAATAATGCGGCGGTCATGGTAAAACATTTCCCTCAAATGCTAGAGTTGTTTGCAATTGAACCAATTGATACCAGATGAAATGAAGGAGTTTAAAGAGTATCAACTACAGCAAGAGTTCAAAAATATGTTTTCACAATATCTTAAGAATAACACCGATGTTAAAAGTTTGTTTATTTTAATTGCGAGGCTTAGGTCCGATATTATCTCTCAACTTCTGTCTTAGCTTTTACAGGGTCATGTCTTGACATGTTGTATAGTTTTTTGCTTGATCCTGGTAAATGTTTTCTGAATCAGCTGTTTCATTATCTTATTGTTAGTGTAAAACCCTCTCCTAAATAAATTATTCAAAAAAGAAGATTCTTTAAAAAGATGCAATTTTTGTTTTAGTTTGTATATGATCTACTACAGCTTCTCTTTGATGAAAACGAGACTGCTTAGTACTATCAAACATGTTAACAGCAACATTTGAAAATATGAAATTTCCTTCGTTTTGTTAAAATTTTGGTTCAAAAAGTTTGTATTAGGTTTCACGAAGAAATACAGTAAAAACTTCAGGAAAGTGGACTTATAGAAATTGATTGGGCTATTCTCATGGACTCATAGGCAAAGGACAGAAAGCAAAAGCAGTTGAAAGTCATTTATTAGAATGAATCAATTCCAGTTCAGCTAAAAGGAATTCAATGAAATATAAAATATAACATTTGAAAATTAAAGTTTATTCCAATTTGCCAGTGGTCAGTGTCAATTTGAAAATTTTGCATACTTCTGCCGTTAATATTTTTGGCCAATATTAATATAGGTTCCCTGGAAATGTTTAATTTCTGTGAACATCAAAAAGATAATCAATTGTGTTTTTTTCGTGAAATTCTGGAGATTTGAAAAAAAAATCTTATTCAGTATAGTTGATGCACGAGAGATTTTCAAGTTAAATCGGAGCAAGTCCGGCGAAATTGTACGGTTCAGAAATAATTATTTGTAAAATCTTATCAAAGTTCTGATTTAAGCTTACCGGGAACACCTGACAGTGCATTGTGAATATTCGCTTGATACGAGCAGTCTTGTCTATAATTAGGATTGCTAGGCGTTACTGGTATTTCATAATTGAATTACTTATCACTAATGATAATATTTATATTGTTAGATCGATTGAGGTTATCTGGTCAAGGTCAATATGATTCCGGAGTCAAATTTCAAGAATATTATCCGGAACGTCATTTACTTTCGGGCGTAAAATTTTTCTGGTTCGGTTATAGTGAACATGCGTTAATAATTTCAGATTTGAGTGGTTATTTTCTTGGTTGACACGAGAGGAAAGAGCTGCCACTGCTTGTTGGGTTGACATATGATTAAAAATGCACTTCTCTTATTTGCTAAGCTTTCTGGAAGGGCTATAAACCTGAAGTGTAATCATAATACTGCGCAAAAAAAACAATTGATTTGAATTTTCCGGACTAAACGAAAAAAAATGAAACCTTCGAACGCATCTTTCATGTATAAATATTTCACCAAAATCAACATGGGGTAAAAAAAGGTTTCACAAATTTCGGGCCCAAATTTTTTTCCCAAGTCTGCGTCATTTTTGACTCTTCTAGTGCATCAAAATTAACGCCTAAACCACCTGGCGAGCTGATAAGCAATCACTGAGCTGATGATATCAAAGTGAGCCTTTTTAATTAACACCCGGCCCAGCTGCCTTCCTTCCACTTTGAACTTATTCCATGGGGAGAGAGATGTCATCCATTTTACCGCAGCCGGTCTTATCTTGAGGAGGCGGACGTAACTGGGACCCCGTCCAACCATGACCGAAGCGAGATTCGAATCCTCGAATTTTGTGTTAAATGACGCGCGTTTTACCCTTTCGGCCACGGCTGTTCAATCAAAGTGAGCCTCTTATTTAGGCCAACAAAATTAAAGAGTTTCCGATATTTTCTGTAGTTTTCAAAACTTAACCTTAAAATCGAAAAACGACGATTAACATAAGTGACAATCATTTCCTTCTTTTACACTTAAAAGCACGGTTTCCTAACCAATTAAGTTGCTCAACGTCACTAATAATGCCAACAATTTTTACAGGTAACTACAACTGCGCACTTTTGCATTCTTTCAAAACCATCGGCGAGAATCAAATAGTATTCAAAGTTTTTCAAAATCTGCTTTTGAAACTGGACAATGCAAAACTGAAGTCAAAAAACAAAAAAGAAAAACAAAAAGAAAAAACAAAAAGAAAAAAACCAACACAGAGGCGAAGTTGCACTTCGCATACACAAGCGAAAATATGACCGATAACGCTACTGGGAAAAACTGAATGAGTAAAACAGTCTATAAAATTTCTTAAGTGACACACGCCAATTGAAACTACATAATTGCTAAGTGACGCAAGTCAATTATGACGCATCAGCAAAACCTGTCAACTTGAAGAAAAAAAAAAGAAATTTACCAACTAGCATACCTCAATTTATAGAGCGGACGCATTTTAGCTAGTATACGAAAAAATGTTCATTGAAAACATCCAACCCTACCCAGGTTCAAACCCTCTTATTTTGTTGCGGGTCTCATTCCCTACCTCTACGCTACAGATCCATGATACCTTGAAGCTAAAAGGCTATTTGATTTATAATAGTCTGTGTTAATATCCTTAACATTGGCTGTACTTAATAGCTGGTTTTTGATCAAAATGAACACTTTCAAAATGAACACACTTTGTCGCAACAATATTTGCGACTTAGGTTGGAAAAAAAGAGTTCATACTATAACACAAGCTTTGCTTGTGTCAACACACCAGAATACAAAGTTCCTCTCCATTTTCAATGGTCGGATGCACTATATTATTGATACTCGGGCAAAGTGGTGGCAAAAGAGCCAAATTTCTCAGGAAAAAAAACTAGTTTCAGATTGCGAATTACAAATTCATGAATATCCATTTTTAAGGATAAGAATACCAATTAGGAAGCTAGAATATATAAATTTGTTTTTACAAAATTAAAGAGTAGAGTATTCATTTGAATGCAGTAAACTGCTAAAAATCAACTGCAGCATTTGCTATTACTGACATTATCTTGGCAGCAGACTAATCAACTGTATGAGTTTCATTGAACACAGAGATCAGGGTAGCTCTTTTCTAATTTAAGCACCTTTCGAATCCCAGAGTGAAAAATTATACCTTAACTTTCTAATTTCAGAAAATAACCTAAATTTACCAGATTTTGAGTTCTGAATCTTCCAATTTTCTAATTATTACTCTTCTTGAGTGATGCAAAATTGTCCCTACTTTTTGTCGCAAATAGTAAAAAATCTTTAATGTATATAGAAAAGAGCGTAATATATTTCTTGTTTCGTTACAAACAATCAAAAAGTTAAAGTGAGTTTTCATATTTGGCTATTTTGGATTTTGTTGCGTGAGATCATTTTGACTTCTTGATTCTTTGTCATTGGATTCCGTCTATTAATCTTTCTTTGTCGATTTTCTTTCTCTTTTTTGTTTCTTTGGTGTTCTCAATTAAAGCTTTCATATATTCGTAGATGCTTGAGTGTATTAGGCAGGTACAGGCATGGAGTTGAGATTCAGCTGGAATTTGACCTTTGATCTCTTCTCCATCATGCTGTTTCGGATGACCTCTAGAGCACGTGCTCCTAGGAAGGAGTTGTCCTCCCGCCACCAACTTCCGAGCACCTATGGGGCATACGTAAATGTTCATTCGGAACCATTCAAAAAAATACCGCTCTCCTACCGTTCCCAAGTCATTTTTTGTACAGAAACATCAGTTTTACAACGTAATCATTGATTTTACGAAGTTGACTATGAGGAGAAAACGTGCTTGTTATTGCGTCCTGCATTCACATGTCAATTTTCATGACAATTGAGCTACGTGGAAAAAAAAACAGCAAATAACATAAGGGGAAAACGGTAGAAGCGCCATAAGTACATTATATAAGTGGCTTATATGCTACATAGTCGATTTAGAATTCAAAAGGCCTAATTAAATGATGATGATAATTAGTTTGTTGCAGCTGTAGAGATGGCGACAGGCAATCTTATGGTGACGGGTTCAAATCTTAAGTTGGCTGCAATCCGCACGACGAGCTCTTGTAAGACAGCCGTAGCTAATTTTTCGTCGTAAGAAAATTATGACGAAAAAAAACTTGACTCGAAATTGGATCTAAACCCATTTTTATTCCTAGAAAATGTTTGTTTCTTTTTGAAAGTCTTTTGTACTCAATTTACCTGAATAGAACACGGAATATCAGTGTCTCCTTTGATGCCAACATAATCCGTGCCATCCGTTTTAATTTTCTCTCCCTCACTCGTCTGTGGCTCTTCAGAGGGATCGGTGTTGACCATCTGGTACCAACACATTGGCACTTGCACTGCAGGGAGTCCAGTCATGTTGCCCAACCAGGTATATCTGGGTGACAAGCAAATAAGATGAAGCAATTCCAAAGAAAAGATTTCTATTGAAATCTGCGGAACGTATCCAAAGAAAACATAATAAGAATAAACCATCAACTTGATTCCTTTTCTCATTTTTTTTCAACTTTCGTTTCATCAAACGAATTGTATCAACTTATAGCTCTTCAGATTTCCAGAATCCTTAATGATAAACGAATAACTTCTAAAACACTTACCTAATTTGGGAAAACTTGATCAATCAAAAAAGTTTATATTTCGCAGGGAACAAAATAAAAATCCAATTTTAAAACCAAAACATTATTTTCCTAACATTTGCACTTTTGTAACTAGCTGGCTACCACAATTTTAGATATTTGGGCATTAGATATTTCTGGCGTCATGAAAGATTGTATTCTTAGAAACATAGCCAAGACAGAGTTGGAAAAGAGTCAAAGAACGCAAGTACACAGAAAAAAATACTGACTTGTTGTTTTTGAAAAAATCTCAACTTTCAAAAGAAAAAAACAGATGCCCTCAAAGCTCTTTGAATTTTCAAAACAAGTTATGATGGGAGTTTTTTGATAAAATTAACCCAATTTGAGAAAACTGGATTAATATGATGTCGCTGGGAAATCTGATAACTAATTTCCATTTTCGAAATTAGAAGTCGATCTCGTTTTTCGTGACCTTTACACTTTTGCTGTTCGATAGTGGAGATCGCCTTCCTTTTGACAAAAAAATGAACTGACCTTAAGAAATCAAAAGCCAAACCGTGAAAAAGTACATGATACTGAACAAAATTTAAGACTTTTGCTGAAAACAAAAATCATTGCGATCTATACAAGAGTCTAAACTATGTCCATCGACAAATACAAAAAAAATACAAACAAGGATAGTCGGCTACTGTGCAAGTAGCACAGAATGTTCCGACCACTATTAAAAAATTACAACAAAATTATTTTTTCAAATTAGTGTCGTTTCTTTTCGGCGAGGTGTGATAAAGGAATCTTAGCGAAAAAGTGAAAAAGTAGAGCTTAGGCAATTTCGTAGTCATTGTAAAATATGCAAATTGGAAAACAATTTTGAAGAAAATAATTTTAAAAAAATCATAAAACCAATAATTTTTTTTCAAAATTTTTTTCCCATTTTTTTTATTCTTAGGATGAAGCTAATAACTCCAAAAACTAACAACATTTTAGTGAAACTAAATTTTCAAGTCCTAAATTAAGCATAAATAAGCTAATGAAAGCCTGCTCACTCACTCGAAATGAGAAAAAAATCAAAAATTTCAAACCGGTTCTTCTCGAAACCGGTAAAACTTTTGAATTTTTTTAATGTCGTCCGAATCACGACTGAAAGGGCTTTAATATGATATATAACTCAAACCAGTCCGATGATTATTTGTGGTAGCTGATTTTGCGTGGAAAACAAACAGAAAAAAAACAAACACAGAGGCGAAGTTGCACTTCGCATACACAAGCAAAAATTTGACCGATAACGCTACTGGGAAAAACTGAATGAGTAAAACTTTGAGTCTACAAAATTTCTTAAGTGACACCCGCCAATTGAAACTACATAATTGCTAAGTGACGCAAGCCAATTATGACGCATCAGCAAAACCAGTCAATTTGAAAAAAAAAAGAAATTTACCAACTAGCATACTTCAATTTATAGAGCGGACGCATTTTAGCTAGTATAAGAAAAAATGTTCATTAAAAACATCCGACCCTGCCCAGGTTCAAACCCTCTTATTTTGTTGCGGGTCTCCTTCCCTACCTCTACGCTACATATCCATGATACCTTGAAGCTAAAAGGCTATTTGATATATAATAGTCCGTGTTAATATCCTTAACATTGGCTGTACTTAATAGCTGGTTATTGATCAAAATGAACACTTTCAAAATGAACACACTTTGTCGCAACAATATTTGCGTCGCAAAAATATTTGCGACTTAGGTTGGAAAAAAAGAGTTCATACTATAACACAAGCTTTGCTTGTGTCAACACACCCGAATACAAAGTTCCTCTCCATTTTCAATGGTCGGAACAAGAATGCCCCCTGACCTACATAATAGAATTCACATCGTTCCTTAACTCTTAATTTGACAAAAAATGAGAATCGAATAATAACTTACCTTGCGATCTCTGTCTCTCCACCTAGATTGACAACCCCGTACTTGAGGTCACCCGGGTGCACTGGGGGAGGCTTCGTTCCTGTGCCAGGGAACAGAATCACATCCACCCTCTCCACTATCTCTCGCACAAACTGGATTAGACGCGTCTTCTGCTGGCCAGCCTAGAAAAAGACATAGCCTATTTTACCGATACGTTCTTTGAATTTACTAATTAAATTTCATAATGTAATGTACGAATTGATTTGAATTCGATAAATGAACTTTTTGATAAAACAAACCCAATTTGAGAAAACTGCTTCATAAGATATTTTTTCACGCTGTTTCGCACCATTTAAATTTTTCGATAATCCAGAACATAACTTACCTTTCTTTTAGCAAATGAATTTGAATTGAACTTTAAAAAAAAACTAAGACAAAAACGAGAAAAATCATTGAGCGTCATTACCTTTCAAGAATTTTTTCTGGAAAAAATTCAACGCAACATATCACTAGATTCATTGACACTTCAACAAAAAGTGGTGGTTCCTGCTAATCGCAGAAGAGTTATCAGTAGACTTCTAGTGGCCTGTCTAAGGATAGTCCATTTGTATTTTTTCCTCGCATTACAGACAGTTATAATGTTGAGCGAAGATTTTGCTACTCAAGAACGTTTTTTTTTACTTTAACCAAAAATTCCTTCGTTAATTGACTTTTTATAATAATTAAGAAGCTCCTTTCAATATCACATTCATAATCTGATATTGAAAGGAACAGTTTAAATATTATTGAGAGTCAATTAACAAAAAGAAACGAAATCAGAGGGTATCTGAACGTGTTTTACCAAACTGTGACTCACTAAGAGAAAATGGGATGCTTTGATTTTTGAACTCAAAGTGTGCAGCAACACCAAATTGGACGAATAGTCGTCCTTGTACTTGTTGAACTCGCCATATGTCGTGTGGAATACACCCTCGGCCCCAAATGTCACCACGAATGCACGGAAGCTCTCAAATATCTCTGGAAAGTTCACAGGCACAATCTGGGCTCCCTTTTGCTTCAGTTTCTCCGCCATTTTCAACACACATTCTCCCACTTGCTCGTCATATGCTTGCTGTAAACCAAAAGTAGGTTCAAATTGCAATTGAACGCTCTTAAAATTAAAGACAAACTTTATGAATGAAAAATCTCAGGTTCCATTAGATCTAAGGAACCAAAGATTCCACATTATGATTGAAAATGTAATTAACTAGATGAAAAATCACATGAAGAAAAATCAGCCATAGACGCACAATTGACATGTTAAATTACGGGGTTATGTATAACAGTTATTATTTCACTGACCAATAATCAGTGCTTTTTACCTGCTCGGGCAATAGGCTAAAAAGTAAGAAACGTAAGGTCGATATTAGTGATGGAGGATAAGCAAACCACATACATGGAACCTGCATCTGTTCTTTACCAAAGACAGACATTATTTCTGATTCATTAACACGAGTATATTTGATAATGATTACTTAAGATTCACCGAGATTATTAATTTTGTAATCTTAATTGTCTTTAGCTCCCTTTTGGTTCAGATATCAGATTTGAATTGTGAACAATTGGAACAATTTCGATTTATAATTACCTTTTTTTGATTTTAACTTGTGATTGGTTTTTCATTTCATGAATAAAGCCCATGAAAAATACCCTGACTGAAGTCAATTGCTTCAACTCGGATTTTGGGGAAGAGCCAATTTTTTACTGGTCAATATGGAATGCTTGTCGTCAGATAGGGACATCAAAATAGCTTTTTCCGCATTTAAGACTTCCCGCTCAAAACTACGAACATAGCCAAGAGACAGTTGGAAAATAGTAAATGAACGCAGGTAAACAGAAAAAGAAACTTTCGATATTCGAAGAAAAAAATGGATGCCTTCAAATCACTTTGAATTTCACGGACAAATTATGATTGGTGCTTCTTAGATAAAACTAACCCAATTTGAGAAAACTGGATCAATAGGTAAAATTTTCATTTCGCTGGGAAATCTGAAAATTAAATTCTACTTTCGAAACTACAAGTCAATCACGTTTTTGTGACCTTTGCACTTTTGCTATTCGACAGTGGAGCTTGCCTTCCTTTTAACAATAGAAATGAACTGAACTTTAAAAAAATCAAAAGTCAAACCATGAAAAAGTAAATGAGCCTGAAGAAATTTTAAGATTTTTCTTGAAAAAACGGAAAAAATGCATTGCAACCTATATCATAGTCTGAGCTGAGTTCATCGAATCTTAATACAATCGGTATAATTCAATTTTTTGACTCAGACCAACCTTGACATAGGCGAAATCGATTCCCACTTTGAATCCCTCAGGTAGAGTTCCACTTATGAAGTGTTCCTGAAACCCATCTCTGAACTGTATCTTCGGAGGCACAAACGAGGTCAAACTGGGAGTCGGTCTGAGAGAGGGCCCTGATATGTAGTGGTAGGCTGCCAGGGCATCCGCTACTGTCCAACAGAGTGGTCCAGTGTGAACCAGGGGAGACCGGTTCAGATCAGAAGCAACACGGGCAAATGTAGCTAGAAAAATCAGATGAAAAACATTCAACTCCTAATATAATAACAATATAATACAATAAAATTGTATTCAGGCCTATATAGCATTGTATTATTTCATTAACTGCATTTACAACCATCAAGCATCAGCCTGAGAGGCCATCGTCAGACCTTGGTTAGTTTCTGGGCTATCGTGTCTATTATGCCATTTTCCTGCGTTATTCTGAAGTTTAGGCTGTTATTGATTATCAAATTACTTGATCTCCAACAATATGGACTCACTTTGCCGTCATCTGAAAAGCGGGCCATAACAATTAGTCATTAGCCATTAGTCTATTGGTTAGTATGATGGGAAAACACGATACATTCATCAGCTTTAATTGGTGCAAGATCAACCTACAAGCTAACTCAGACTGAAAATCGAAGACAAAGTTTTTGAGAAACTGAGGTTTGGGGAGGATGTGGAACGTACCTTTCACTCCCACTATTCCATTGAATGAGGCTGGTATCCTAATAGACCCTCCCCCATCTGTCCCCAGTGCAAGAGGACACAGCCCCGCCCCCACCGCAGCCCCACTTCCCCCACTACTCCCTCCCGCACAGTAGTCTGTGTTCATTGCAGATCGCACGTGGAAATTCTTCCTAATAACACAACAACACACAAGTGGATATTCTTAGATATAGAACGAAAACTATTGTTACAAGAGTCAAAAAAATTCACATTGTAATTATCTGGGCTACTGTTCTAGCCCCATACATCGTCGCATCGTAAAAACGTAATATGTATGATTTAATCAGTATATGTACAAGAATAGTTGTTAAGGCTCCCCACCTCACCTGTTGATGGCCGCCCCCGTGCCCCCCAGTCCCCCCTCGTGTGCACTGGTGATGCCAATGATGACAACTCCCGCCATCCTCATGCGCAACACTGCACTGTCCTCCATTGCCTGCTGCTCCCTCTCACTGTCTCCCTTGTTGGCCAATCCGAAAGTCAGTTTGAACTTGTCCTAGAACAAGGAATCAAATCACAGTTAGAACAGAAATAGCTTATAATCAATTCTAAACAGACCCAACAGAGTTCGAAAAGAGTCAATGAACGCAAGGAAACAGAAAAGAAAAATTGACTTTTAAAAAAAACTTCAAGTTTTAAATTTAAAATTTCAAAATAGACGGCCTTGCAGCTCTTTGAAATTCAAAAACAATTTATGATTGACACTTTTTCGATAAAATTAACTCATTTTGAAAAAACTGGTTCAATAGGTAAAATTTATTTCGCTTTTTCGTGATCTTTTCACTTTTGTAACTGGATTGCGCAATTAACCTAACTTTTAGCAGATGAAACTAAATTGGACTCAAATAAAGCATATATACCTAGAAGCTTTCATAAATGCATTAATTGGGATGAATGCAACATTCTATGCGCTTCTGCGCAAAAATACACACCCTGTTTCGCCCAAAACGTTCAGTACAGCGTAAGAGTTTTTACATATAGCAAAAGGCCGCCTAAAATTTATTTGCGCAAATTTGTGACAAAATTTTCTTTTCTGCAAGCGTATGCTCCCACAATTTTGTACATTAAGATCTTACTATACAAAATCAATCACCAGAAAACAGGCCCAGAGCATTTACACAGATTTACACACAAACAACAGTAAAAAGGCAAAAACAAAACTAAAAAATTAAAAAACAAATAAAAATAAGCATTGAAATCTTAAAATTATATTACGTGCCGGAATCAAACCTCCGAACTGGAGATTGTGAGTCACACGTCCTGGAATCTGCTCACAGTCACTTGAAAATTTACAAACAATAGCTACAACAAAAAAGCTATGCAGCAAAAATTCCACCAAACTGACCCCTTTGAACTACCAGCACAATAGATGATCGACAACTTTTTCTGTCTGCTAAAGTTAACTCAGTTTAAAAACACTGGGTCAATAGTTAAAGTTTTTAATCCGCTGGTAAATCTGAAAACTATAATCCAATTCCAAAACTATAAGTCGATCACGCTTTTCGTGACCTTAGAACTTTTGCTGTGCAATAGTGGAGCTTGCCTTTCTTTCAACAATGGCAAAGAACTGAACTTAAAACACCAGGTGAAGATGAGCTTCACACAACTTGCGATACAAAATGAGTGGCTATTATTACAAGCAAAAATTGATTTTTTTTCAAAAGATGGTTTTTTGTCAATAAAATTCAAATTGCAAAAAAGTCTTAAAATCCCCGAAACAAAAAAACCTGCACCATTAAACACTTAACAAAGAGCTTAAGAGAAACATTTCTTAAAAGAGCTTAAAAGAACATTTCTGCGGGAACTAAGACGACAAAAATAAGAAGACAAACAGAGGACAGACAAAAACTTTTGACGCCCGGATAATTTTCCGTTTAAAAAAAAAACATGTCCTGGACAGAGTAGAACCATTGACCTTTGTCTCTAAAGGCAGATGTGTTAGATCTTCGCCACATTTGCGAATTAACGTCTGACTTTTAATTTGCTATGAACCAAAGAAAAAATGATTCAAATGATTCTGTTTAACTAATTGTTAACCCGAAAAAAGTCTATTTATCCGATTTGATAACGCTTGCTATTCGCAAGCGCGATAAAATCGACAGTCAAACCGCGAAAAATCAAATTTGAGCGTGAAAAAATTTCCAGACTTTTCTTGAAAAAAAAAATGATCACGATATACATCAAACTCTTCTCTACATTCATCGACTCTTAAAACATTTTCTACCGCTATAATTTTTTTCTTCTAAAAAACAGGGCGTAGCCGTTTATTAAATGCAATGGTCCCTTAACTTCAGATTTTTCAAGAAATTTACAAGAATGGTTCAAGAAGACTGGCTTTTTGAGTCCATAAAGCGTCGCAAAAAAATCATTAACGCAAATCCCATACATTTTCACGATACCTCTTTTTATTAACCATGAGCTAACACTATCCATTAATAAAGGACGAATAAAAGCTATTAAACTGCCGATGGTTGGAAATATACTAAAGGTGCCCGCAAATGCTAGTTACTGGATTGACTTAGCATACCACTTTGAGGAAGTCCTTGACGCCCATTGGAGTGCCATCCAATACAGACAACACATTACCACTCTTGTACCTCTCAGTGCTGGCAGCCGCTAGCTGAAATCAATTACTAATTATAAACCTATTATAAATGTTGAACTATTCACAGAAAAATAGTTGGAAATGAAAAAAGATCAAAAACCGACGTTGAAAAAAGATCATAACCGAAAGTTATCAAACGAAAACAACGGTAAATTTTCAGCTGCGACAAGTTTAGGAAAGCTAGAAAACGAAAATTGTTTCGGCTTTCAACATTTGGAACAGCAATATTTTAACCGAAAATTGTTTTGGCTTTCAACATTTGGAACAGCAATATTTCGACCGAATTATAGTTGGAAATGAAACAAGACCGAAACCGACTTTTTAGATTGCGGCCTTGACAAATTACCTAATAGTTCAAATACTTGCACCATAATTTCAACATTTAAGTTTTTCCAAATAAGACAATCGATACCATCTAATAACATGCTCCACGTCGATATCATTGGAAAAAAAAGATATTTCCAGCCACACCTTATGATTGACACTTGCTTTTTCTAATCCGTATTTATATTATATTTGTAAATCGATATGCTTTCTCATCACTGGTCTCTCCATACTTTATATGACAATGAACCGTTTCCCACTTCAAGTACCGAACTCAACAAGGGTAGAAATATGGCATACCTCCCTGATGTCCTGTGGGTCATACTGTGTGACAATGTTGAGGTCCAATTTGCGGGCCTTTAGCTCCTCTATCCTCTTGATCACACACTCGCCCACTTCAGAAGGGGTCAACTTGCCAGACCTAAAAGTAACAAAAGCGTCGATGAAAACAGGCTGCTGTATAAATAGGCTGGGGGCGCTCAACCAGGTGTTAACCCAATTCATGGAAATATTCAGGGAATTTCTATTTGGGGAAACAATTTAATATACAGAGGTACAGTGGAGCTTCGCACAACTTGCGATACAACTCAAAGACATATCAGGGCAAACTAGTTGACAGAAAATCAACCGCTAAGTCGGAAAACGTATAAACGTGCAAAAAATGAAATCAAACTAAATTTTCATGTTTGTTTCAAATAGTTTTGAATAAAATTGATTTTGAGAAAAAAACATTCCAATTAAAACATTTGAATGTTAAATGACATCAGCACAAATCTTACGAAGAACTTTTTCAAAAAATTGTTTTTAAGGCCCCCCTAACAACACATACGCGCATAATAAACTCTTTTTTAGCCCATCAACGGACGCATAAAGGGGCCACTAAGCCGATGTATTATAAGCCGAAACCTTTTGAGCCACTGAAACAAAAAAAAACGAGAAAACTGAAACCATACCAAATCAGAGATAGTTAATATACAAACAAAAAAATAAAAACAGGTCATTTAAAATGCAGAAATTCTCACAATTTATCTGTTTTTGACGAAAGAAATGACTTGAGAAAAGTATTGTGATTCTGTTAGACAAGTTTTTTTTCCTGAAAAAAAAAATGGTCTGATTGGATAATGTTTGCTAATTGCAACCGTAACTATTGTTCTTACTTTTTTCCTTTGGATATCAAGAACCTGGAAAGATCAAGATTCAAAGAATCAGGATTTTGACTTATGCAGCTGTTAGTTTTGATCTGAAAATAAATTCACTCACTTGTAGGCTTTGTGGAACTGAAGGATGGTTGCTCTGTCTTGTACATAGGCATCTTCCTCTGACAACTGCCTAGAACAAAAAAATACACTCACGATAATCGAGGATAACTTTTGTGCATGACACTATTTCAGTAGAAAAAGATTATTTTTAAAGCGTTTTTGGGAAAACTCAAAAATTTTATTTGGTTGACCTAAACAAAAGGTGTTTTTTTTAAATCTCCTTATCAAGAGAGTCCTAGATATGCGTCTGGATAATAGAAGAATATATTTTTTCTACGACTATGCAAAAGTTTCATCCTTATTCTTTAGATAATGCGAGTTAGTTACACTGCCTCTTTGAGTAATAACTGATTATTAAAAGGAAATAAAATTGAGCTAGGCGTGCGGAATGAAAGCTCCTACAATTCTAAGAACCTTGTTGATTGATACATGCTCGACTAAATAAACATAAAAAGACAAAGTATCAGTTGTTCTGCTTATTCCACTGGTGAGCCTTAAAAGTTTAGCCACTTTTGAACAAGAAGCGAGGAGCTATAATTTTCGCCAGTTCTACATTTACAATTGGATATATACCATTTACTATCTTTTATGATAGACACTTTGTTCATAAAACTACCCACTTGGAGAAATGAAAAAAAAAATTTGAACAGGCATTTTTTAACTCTGGTAAAATCCATTTTCTAAACAAAAAGTGATTGCATGTTTTAGCTCCATTTCCACTTTCAAAATGAGAGCATAATTTTCCTTCATTTTAGCAAATGCATTTAAAGGAATTTCAAAAGAAAACAAACTCAAAAACGCTAAAAATCAAATTTGACCGTGATCAAAACTTTCCTGAAAAAAATCAGTAAAAAACACGACCAAAATTAGTGTCTTCACTTGAAAACCGATTCGAACACTAAAAGAAATTTCGTAAGCCAAACTTTCACCGATAAGCTTTTAGTTCGCTTGAATACACCAGTCGATGCTCGCTTGAATACACAAAATGCGGATAAAACAGGAGTCGCTTGAATTTCTGGCAAGTTTCCTAATTTTTTATATTTCTCAAATTTTTAGAGAAAAGAATAGGGTTGGGTTGAATAATGAAATATTCCGATTGAATAGGGTGTTCATAGTTAAAATAAAATAGCAATCTGATTCTACCCACTTTTAAGCGGTAAGTTAATGTGAAAAACAAAAAAATTTTGGAATCTTATCAGGACTTCAGGCGCTTTATTAAGATTTATAAGATTTATAACTCGAACGCATCTAATATTTTCTCGTTGCGCCTGAGTTTGCGTCAAAAATCACACCCTACCTAGTCCATAAGTTTTTTCTCAACCCTGTGCTGGTCAGAGCAATAAGCGCATCCAAATGATATGCGAATGGCACAAAAGATTTCGATCAGAGTTCCCGAAGATAAAAAACTCATACAACTGCTAGCTGAAGTGTTAGAAAAATGGACTCATTTTTGATGTTTCTATATTTTTCCAGGGTTTGCGGAAAAATTCAGTTTGAAGCGCGGAAAGAAAACTGAACTTTCAGATATAAGATTACTATTTTGCTACAAGCCAAAAAACCTCGCATTATTTTGGATTTACTCGCAGTATTGATTGGCAATTGTACTGCACGATCGCAAAAGACAATGCATCAAAACTCTGTCGGAAAAGCGAAGCATACGTTTTTAACACTGCAATAATTTTTCGAATCACAACTTGAAGTGTTTCAATAAGATTTCTTTGATATAAAAAACTTTGCAAGGAAAACACTCAGATTCTTTCCATATTCTATCATTGGAATAGCAAGCAAAAACCATGACTAAAAATAAACTCATAGCGAGAACACGACAATAGCGAGAACACAAAAAAGCAGCTTTATAAAGTGAAATAAGAAAAGATAGAAATAAAGCTCGAATTAGTAAAAAACACCGAGATTTGAAGTCTCACGCCCTACCATCTCGACCACGAACGCTTAACAGCCGGCAAACACTAGTCACGAATAAAGCAGATACATATGATAACAAATTGCCGATGCCATCAGCAAAAGTGGCACCAAATATAAAAAGACACATGTTGCAAACAATAGTTCGGAATATAACAAAGTGGAGGCATCCATACTAACTTTGGATGTAATAAAATGGAAAGCATGAAGCCACATTATGAAAAAATGATGCGTTTCAAAAAAAATGCGAGATATATTGAGTTGGAAAACTGCTGAAGTCGAGTTCTTATTTTTGTTGTGTTGCTTGAAACAAATAGCTTTTTTCGGTTCATTTGATGAGTTTAAAAGAAGGTTGGAAAAAAAGAATGGTCGTAGTATAACACTAACGCTATGTTTGTTAGTTAGTAAATATAGCTAACAAGCACGTAGAAAAAAGTCAATGAGCTCAAGGAAACCATTTTTTTATAAATTACCTTTCGAATTTCAAAAAAAAAATAATACATGACCTTTGAGCTCTTTGCTTGACAGTTTTATGGTGAATTTGAGGAAACAGATCAATGTGTTTTTTATTCCAATGGGATTTTAAGTTTAATTCTATTGTTTCCAGAGTGGAACTTGCCTTACTTTTAGCAAATGAATTAAAAAAAAATTAGAAAGAAATCAAAACTCAAAAAGTTAAAAATCCAAGTAGACTGCTCAAATTTTAAAACTTTCCTGAAAAAAAGCACGACACTTAAAAATGCAACCAAATAGTGTCCATTGCGGCTATCATAAATCACCGAAAAACAATAGTGATAAAACGCAAAAATTATAGATCTAACACGGAAATGATTTAAATGAAAAAATAACGCGCCAAGAATGTCACATTCAAAACAGGTACTTAGCCAACAGACAGTCAAAAAGTCAATTAACGCAAGTAATTAGAAATAATGACTTTTTCAGAAAAAAAAAATTAAAAAAACATATAGGGCCTCAAAGCTCTTTGATTTTCAACTAAAATTTAGTATTGCTACTTTTTTGAAAAAAAAACCCAATTTGAGCGGGCTAGATTAATAGATAAATTGTTTATTCCGCAGGCAAATCTATGTCTTAAAATCCATTTCGAAATCCGAAGTCGATCACGTTTTTCGAGACATTCACACTTTCGCTGTTCGATAGTGGAGTTTGCTTTCCTTTTAACAAAGGGAATGAACTGAACTTGAAAAGAAACCATAAGTCAAACCACTAAATTCAAATGTAAGCGTAGACAAAGTTAACTGAAAAAAATCAACGACCTATATTAGTCTTCACTAAGTTCATGACTCTAAGCAAAAAAAAAATGAAAAACACTTGGTTTTTGACGAAAATTCTTCCGAAGCCTCAACCTTGAAGCCCTTCACCGCTGTATATACTTCGCAAGTGGAACTTCTCAAGTTATATCCATAGAGTGAACGAAAACGTTTTCAGGGTGTACAGATAAGAAAGGATGAAAAACATTTGAAAACAAAGTTCCTTCATAATAATTTTTAAAATATCGGAAAAAGTTCAACAATTAAAAACTGAATGCAAGGCTTCTTTAACTAAGCTTTCAAGAAATTTCGTTTGCTATTCATTTTCAGACCCAGAGGTTTCAAGAGGCGTGCTTACTGTCAGATCTACTTTTTTTCTATAAAATTTTGCAAATCACATGCTGCTGTTTCTAACGGAAATTAAAAGTCTTTGTAACTGTCTAAAACTAAGACAGATCACCTTTATAATGAATTTGAACAGATAGACAGTTTCCGAATTCTACCCTGAGAGATTTTGTTATTTGATTACAAAGCTCGATTGATTATTCCAAAGTTAAATTTATAATGCCATTTATTTTATTTGAGAACAGTAATTTATCATCCACGACACCATTTGCTTGCCACCAATGGCAATATAAAATGATACTTACCAAAAATAGTTAATTTAACCGGAATTAATTTTAATTGAACAGGTAAAATTATGGAAAGCTTAATTAAAATGGCAGTTTTAAAAACCTGAGCCCAACTAACTACTAAAAATACAAACAATTTCACAATTTTATTCACATTTAAATTGCATTCTACGCAGTTAAAAATCATAGTTTTGCGCTTCTTTTTTTTCGGAATTTACTTTTTATTAAGCAGCACCTATCTTGTTATATCGAACAGAAGCATATGTTAATTTCGAGTTTAAAACTTATCATTCGTCGCATCCAATTTCATACCGAGTTCTGATATACATGTCAGAATCAGATCAAGGAAACACATTGCATCGAGAGGGTTGCGAAAAGTAATAACTGAAAGTAATTGATACTTTTAACCCAAAAAACCTTTTGACATTTTCTTCTGTCAAAAACTTCTGACATTTTCTTTTGTCGACAAATAACGATCAAACCTTATTTTCTATAATAGTTTGTTTGTTTTTATTAGCCTTTGAATCTCAATTTGTTTCATGTAAATCTAAAATTTCAATTATAGCCAAGATAGTTGGAAAAGAGTCATGAATGCAAGAAAAAAAAACAGACTTATTTTTTGAAAAAACTTCAGCTTTCGAATTTCAAACTGAAAAAAAAGAGCATTATAGCCCTTTAAACTTCAAGAACAGTTTTTGATTGGCGCTTTTTGATTAAATTAATCCAATTTGAGAAAACTGGACTGATCGGTACTTTTTTTACTGGGACATCTGAAACTTTAAATCTACTCTCGAAACTAGAAGATGATCACGTTTTTGTGGCCTTTACACTTTTGCTATTCGACAGTGGAGTTAGCCTATCTTTTAACAAAAGAAATGAACTGAACTTAAAAAGAAACCATAGACAAACCGCAAACATCAGATTAGAGTCTGAACAAATTTTCATGAAAAAAAAATCACCAAGAACTATCTAGGGTCTTCATTACGTTTCTTGACTCTTAAAAACTGTCAAACATTTCGGATGTTTCGTTGAACGTTTCAACTCGCAACGATGCATGATCAAAAATCAGGTCGACGCCTAATTCACATTTAAATTTTTCGTTCGTTTTTAACCCATTATGTATTCAACTAAGTCCAATGATGAGACAATCATGTACCAGATTTATATGAAGGCCGATTTGATAACAAAAAATCATCAGGTTTAACATTTGCAACCCTTGCAACAACTTATTTCAGTCACCACATTCGAGACTATCAAAGCGTCCCTGCTAGGTGTCCTTATTTTCTACGTAGGATTTTTCCTCTCTCTTCTGCTCATAATCTGCATGCGATCACTCGAGACGCAAATCATACATTTCAACTCCAGAATAATCAACCAGGTATGTCAAATCAAACATAGATGCTAAGCTGCATTTCAAAATTTCTAACACTTCAAGAGGAACAAAATAAGCCTTGAAAAGTGAAGTTCGGTACTCATAAAAAACCGCATATATTGGAAATCAGATCTGCATTTTTCGAGTGTACTCTGACAGCCCCCCAACTTCAGGTTGGGAATTTCACACTTTGAAAAATTAATTTGATTTTCATGAAAATTTTTTGAAAAAATCACAAAAAAACGTCATATCTGGAAAACTGCAAGGTTTTGAGCAGTCATATTGGGAGACAAAATTCTCAACTCCTGAGAGTACCTTGACAAAGCCTCACTACAGAGATGGTAATTTCAAGTTTTGAGAAATTTTTTATACCTAAGTTTTCTGAAAAATTTTGAAAAAAATCCTAAAAAAACGTCATATCGCGGAAACTACAAGAATTTGAGCAGCCATATTAAGAGGCAAGATTCGCAACCCCCCGAGAGTACCCTCACAGATTCCAATAATAGGATTGAGATCTTCAAAGTTTTGGAAAGTTTTAACGTTTAATTTTTTTTTGAAAATTTCGGAGAAAATTATAAAAAACGTCATATCTCGAAAACTAGTAGGATTTGAGCAGTCATATTCGGCGGCAAAACTCGCAACTGCTGAGAGTATCCTGACAGAGCCTCACTACAGAGATGGTAATTTCAAGTTTTGTGAAATTTTTTATATCTAGTACCCTCACAAAATCCAACAAAATGGTTATGATCTTCAACGTTTTGGAATTTTTTAAAATCTAAGTTTTTGAAAATTTTCTGAAAAAATCATAAAAAACGTCATATCTAGAAAACTATAAGGATTTGAGAAGTGAGAATTGGAGGCAAGATTCGCAACCCCTGAGAGTACCCTGACAGTACCCAACTGCAGGGTGAAAATTTCAAAAATTGAGAAATTTTTTTTCATGAAATTTTTTGAAAATTTTTGAAAAATCTCAAGAAAATTGCCTATCTTGTAAACTAAAAGGATTTGGTTATTCATATACGGAGGCCAGAACCTGGGAAATCTCTGACAATATCCTACTATTGGGTTGCTAATTTCAAACTTGATGAAACAAACACTGAATTTAAACTGGAAAATCGAAAATAAAACCTTAACCATTGCAATATACGACATAGCTTAAACGTGAAAAAATTCTTTTGTTTAACATGCAAAAATAATACGTTGAAAAAGCTTAAACATGGCGAGATAGTGAAGCCCGCATTTAAATATATAATAGATTTCACAACTTGTTAGAGGCTTCGCAATTGTTAGTGTACTTCGCATGATCGCATGTCTTAGTGAACGTCTCAAACAACCTCGAACACTGGATTCCGCAATTTGTATGTTGATCCGCAAATACACTCAACCAGCGATTTGTGTGTGAATAATTAAGAGATAGATAGCTACAGCCACTTCGAACCAATAGGTGAAAAAAGTAGAATTAAAAATGCGGAATTCAACCTGGACGGGGCCTAGGAAATTAGACGACAAGCAAATTAGACGACCGTTACGGACAACCAGTATTTATTCAGCCAAAAGATATTTTAAGTCTGTAAAAAAGTTTCACGCAATTTGCACGTAAGTTATAGTCAAATTCCGTTATTTTCGGATCGTCTAATTTCCTGCCGTCTAAGTTCCTAAACCCCAACGAGGACTTTATCATAGTTTATGAAACCCAAAACAAATTTTTATACCAAATTTAAACCCAAATCAAAAATGCAAAACTTTGAAGCCCAAAAATGTCTCGATTTTTTTCTAGTACTTGCTAAAAATTTGATGACCTTTTCTGCGTTTGGGAAAAACAAACTCATTTTGGCCAAGTTTAATGCAGTGTTTAACCCCATTGTTGACCAGCAATTCTCTCACTTTTTGCGTCCAATTCCTCATTTATGAGGTCGAT